TTGCCCACTTTGATCACGCAAACCTTGCCGGACCCCTACTCCAAAGGACCTCACAGTCGTGTCTTTAAGACAAAGAACGCTCATATCCAACTGCAAGGCAGACAATAACTTCCAGGCGAAAGAAAAAAAAAAAAAAAAAAGAAAAGGAAAAAAAAAAAAAAAAAAAAGAAAAGGGAAGGCATGAGTAACTCGTTTCCCCAGCTGTCTGAGAGAGGGGCAGGCCTACAGGGAGCACGGCGGCGTCCCCGGACAGCCGTACCGGCGCTGGCCCGGCCACCGAGCCGCATTTCTCACCGGGTCCTGCACCAATCCACAGAGGAGATTACGGAAACAGAACAGGCGCTAAAAGCGAGCTGGGGGGAGGATGGCGGGGGGGAAGGGGGGAGGCAGAAAATCGCCTTCGAATGAATGAAGCCGGCGGGGAGCGGAGTTCCCGGCGGGAAGGCGGCAGGCAGGCACCCACCTCCCCGCCTGCCGCCCCCAGCCGCGGCCACCTCTGTGTTTACATCGCGCACCTCCGAACGCGGCACTTCCCCGGCTGCCGAGAGGGGGATCCCCCTCCCCGCTTCCCCCCGGCGCCTCTTTATTGATTACCGAGGGAAAAGCCCAGCTGCTGCTGCAATGCAACACGCGCCGGCTAAGGCGGAGGGAAAGGGGGAGAAGAAAAAAAAAAAACACCGGCAGAGAAAGAAAGGAGCCGGGCGCCCGGAGCTCACGCCGTGCCCGGCCCGGGGGAGGCGCCGCAGCGGGGCCGCCCCCCACCCCGGACCCGGGCCCCGCCGCCGCCCCCCGACCGCAACTTCGCCGCCGCCGCGGGGGGACGGGGACGGCGGGCCGCCCTTCCCCCGCCGCCACTAACAATGGGCCCTTCCCCCACCGCGGGGCTCCCCTCGGCCCGGCCCCCTCCCCCGCCGCCGGCCGATCCCCCCGGCTCCCAGTGCCCTTCCCGTTCCCGGCCGTGCGCCGGCCGAGCCGGGGGGCGCGGAGCATCGCCCCCCACCCCGCGAAGCCGCCCGCTCCGGAGCCGGCCGCTCACCTCATGGTGCTGCCCGCGGTCGGAGAGCCGCTCCCGCTGCCTCGCTCCCTGCTGCGCCGCCTCCCCCGCCCCGCTCCGCCGCTCGCCGCGTCCCCGCAGAGCGAGACCCCCGGAGAGCGAGACCCCCGCCCGGCAGCGCCGCCCGCCCGCTCCGCCGCTCCCTCCGCCGCCGGGCCGGGCCAGACCACCGCGGGGAGCCGGGGGTGGGAGGGGACGGGAGAGGTGGGGGAAAGGGGCGGGGAGGAGCGAACCACCGCGCGGGAAGGGCGGGGGGAAAGGAGGAGGAGGAGACCGAGAGCGGGCGGGCGGGGGCGGCCGGAGACACCGGCGGGGCCGCGGGAGCGGCGGCGGCCGGGGGTGCGGGAGCGGCGGCGGGCGGGAGGAAAGAGAGAGGGAGGGAGGAAGGGGCGGGCGGCGGAGGAGGCCGCGCCCACCGCCGCGCTGTGCCCGGGCGGCTCGCTGGGGCTCGGCGGCCCCGGCGCGGGGTGGCGGGGGTGGAGGGACGGGCCGGCCGCAGGTGAGGCGGCGGCAGGAGCGGCGGCTCCTCGGGACAACCGCCCGCCCGCGGCAGCGTCTTCCCCGGCGGCCTCGGGAGTGTGCCCGGAGCGGAGGGGCGGGATGGGCTCCCGGAGAGCCGCGTCCCGGCGTGTGAACAGCTCCGCCCGCTCGCTGAGCCTGCCCCGCTCGGCCCCGCGCTGCCCGCATCGGGCTCGGGCCGGCCCGGCCCGCAGTCCCTGCCCGGTGCCAGAGGGAGCACGGAGCCCCCGAGCCCGAGTTCGGCAGGCACCGCGGGCAGCGGCCCCTCGGTGCCCCGGGAGCCGGTGGCCCAAGCCTTTCTCAGGAATTCTGCAGGAATGTTATTTCTGCACGTTTCGGTAGTCCCGAAAAGCGCCTGCCCTAAATGCGGGTTTACGTTCTGCTGTCGGTACCCAGCGCACTGTACAAGTAACTTTAACCCAGCTCCTTGCTGTCAGCTAGCGAGTGAATGCCCGTTGTCTTTCGTCTCGGTTAAAAGAAGTGATGAGCAAAGCGTCTTTGCGATTCCCAATGCCGTTAAGCCATCTTGGTGCTTTCACACCTCCAATTTAATTTTTCCTTAATGAATACCAGGGCTTTCTACGGTCTAGCAGTAAAAATATACACAAGAAACAAACATCTTCTTTATAAGTGTCTAGACTTCTAGTTATAAAAAATGAAGAATTTAAAAAATATATGTGTATTTCTGATGTAGGTTCCACACATGTAAGGGGATTTTACCATGAATCTCAGCTATTTGGCACCACCTCTTCCTTGATCAGTGAGGCATAATCCCTCTCTGTCAATTAATGGTGTCAGTAGCACAGTAAGAGATGAACTAATCAATGAGGAAGAAAATGGCCAATTGTTAGAAAACACTAACTTGGGAACAAGGACAGGCTCTGAAACTGAAGCTAATGAATAGTTTAGTAAGAAAACATGTTTTTACTGGCAAAGGGATGATGTCAATGAAAATGTTGCAGTAGAGGTGAATCACAAAATGCAGATGAGTAATCAGAAGAAAAGTGACATTGTGATCTTAAAAATTGTGTACCTTTGTCAACAATGTAAAGACAGTCTGGAAAAGGGACACAATTGAATCTGATAAATAAAATTACCTTAATTGCTTTCAACAAATGCTGAGGACTCTGATGACTGGCAGTGGACCTCAGTTCTTAAGGCATAATGAATTTTCTAAGATCTGGGCTTCCTACCACCAGAACATCCTCCAAATAAAAGGTTTGGAAAGAAAGCCATTCTGGCAGTGAAAAGTCTCTTGAAGGCAGCCAAGCAGAAATGTTAAAATCTGTATCTATATAGATACATCTAAGATCTATGTCTAATGGGCTTCAGCAGGTACATGAGAAGAAGGGATGGCAGAGACAGAAGAAGGAGGATTTTGTTTAAAGACACCAGTTGTTCTACAACAGAAAAAAAATCAGCATCATAATGTGTCTGTCCTGATGCAACTGTCTGGTCTTATTAGTCAAACCTAAAAGAATTTTGACTGTGACAGGTATATGAAAACCACTGAAAGTATGCCTGGGCTCCGGGTCTGCCTGAGAAAGAATGAAAATAGCCAGAAGCTTTTACTCCTGCAAAATAACTATTATCGCTATTTGTGTTATATTACTAGGTGTTCTTAGCCAAATCAGATATGGTCATAGCTGGATTTCTCAAGACCTACTCAGTGGTACAATAGAATTTGTAAAAATGCCAGAAGAATCATTTTGCATGCTGGCATCGCAGATGTCACCAAGTGCAAAGTCATTTTGGACGCTAGCTTAGTCAAAAATCCCATTGAATTAATCTGTAACAAAATACTAAATCTGCAGTAACTCATATTAGCAGCTACATGAGAAGGAGAGGAGCCAAAATTATATAGGGCAGAAATCAAATTATAAACGTTGAATGCCTCTTTCTTTCCAGGTCAATTTAGTGAGGTTATTGTCAAGAAATGAGAGTAGTCTGGCAGGAGAAGGAGTTAGTGTCATGTACATGTTTATGGTACTGAATTATGCATTGGGAAATCTGCCTGCTCTCAAGCAGACTGTGTGCTCCCAAGCCGTAATTGCTCGCTGTGTCCCATATCCAAGTCCCTTGGTGTGACCCTGCTGTCACCTCTCTCGCTGACAGGATCCTCCAGCAGCACAGCATGGGTGCCAATGCCCTCTGCATCCCATCCCACTGCTCTCCCTTCTTCTGGCAGTGACCAAACCACTGTGGCACAAAGCCCTCTTAGCTGCTGGTGTCACGCTAAGAACTCGAGCTCCGTGACAACCCACGTAATGGTTCTTCCACTCAGTGCCCAAGGATTGTGTTCATGCCCTTCTTCCTCTGGACCCAAGCAGCTCAGGGTACCCCAAAACCACTCTGCATTCTTCCCTCCTGCGTTTTCTACTGTGCAGCTGCAGGAATTCAGGGGCTCTGAAAAGCTAAGCCAGCTCAGGTTGAGCAGTTGGTGTGCCTGCTCTCCAAACAACCTGACTAATGAAGGCTTTCTGATGGCTACAGAAATGGCTCACCCAGGCATAAAGCAGAAGAAGATGTGCTTCTGTTTCATATCAGCCAAATGCAAGAGGCTTAGCAGATCCAAACCCAGCAGATCCCATCACATCTCATCAGTATGGATCACCCTTGACACAGGGTCGGGAGGAGGATGCGTGATGTTCTAATGTTCTGGACACATTCAGGGAATCCAAAAGCTTCAAAAAGCAGAGTAATCCTTTCTCTCACAGTGAGATTTCCCCTGTCCTCTCTGAAACAATCTCCCACTTTCCAGTCTTTGTTTCTCCAGAAAGGAAAAAGTAGCTGAGATCTTCATATGTCTTACAAAAGGCAGTGTACTAGGACAGCAGCTCATATGCAAAATCACTTTGGCCTTCTTCAATGACTGTAAATAACATCATGCAGGATACAGTCAGAGAAGTTTCTGGAACAGGGAAAAGTGGGTTTTTTTCTGGTGGTTTTGGCTTTTTGAGGGTTATTATTCTTTTCTCTTAATACATCCAGAGTTTGGTTTTTGAATACATAAAAAAAGATACTTTATTTCACTTGTTTAGATTATTTCTATAGAACTAGTATAGAAAAAAAACACAATTTGCTATATAATAGAAGTGAGACAGTGGCAACAACAAAGCATGAGCTTTCTCTCCAGAGATAGTGAAGGGCTTTCCAAAAAATGGTGAACTAAAAGAAAATAGCTCTGACAGTGTGCTTCTGGTAGCATTGAAGATTATCAAAACAAAAGTGAATTAAGTAATTGAATATATTTTTCTCATCAGTGATTATGTTAATCTAATTTATAAATACATCTTTTGCTCTGGACCAGACACAGAGCTGATGCCTGAATTCTGTGAGGTCATGGTTAGTTGAACAAAATGAGGATCCAGCTATTATATAGATAGTTAAAGTATACTGGCCAGTATAATTCTTCCTGTCCTCTTCTCTCTTTCCCTCAACCCCAAGTCATTTTCAATTTCAGGTTGCCATGAGTCAGCCGACTGCTGAACTGTTGCATAGCAGACCATTAAAGGAAATGCTCTCAACTAAAAACTCCTTAGTTTTATTTTATTTATGAAATTACACAGTTTTTCCTAACTGCCTTCTGGGGAAGGGGGAGTAAACTATCTCTAAAATTCTCTAGGAATGCTAAAATAAACAATTATTGGCATGACTCAGCAGATAACAACAACAATAGCCAAGAAGGTCTTTTCTTAAAGGAACAATATTTTTATTCTGTTGTAAAAAAGGCAAAAACAACATGACCAGCAAAGGAAGCAAATCTTTTGCTATCAAACACAGTCCTTTGACTCCCAAAGGTGAAACTTGGTCTTCCTACCAGCATACCCTGCTCCTTGTTGTGCAAGTAAACAACTCCTGGATCTTCCATCAGGCACCTCCAAAGAGGGATGAAACCAACAGCTGAAGCTTTCTGCTGTGCTTCTTTCCACCAAGGTTCCTAAAAGTGCCCCCCACACTATCAAATAGCATCAGCACATCAAACCACCAGCCTCTGGAGATGTGAGTGGGGAGTGTGGCATGTGTCTTTCAGGCTGTTCCCAGTAGACTCAAATACTTAAGTGAAAATTCCTTGTATAAAAAGGGATTGTTTTCCCCCCCTAGGTTTACCATGAAAAGAATCTGTATTGTTCTGCAGGCTATTCAGGGAGGGTTGAAGTCTCTTTTTGTGTAAGTACTGTCTATCAAGTGTAAATCAATGTGTTGTGTACTTAGTGTAAAAATGCTTTTCTGACACTCAGATAAATTATGATTGTTGTTTTGACCCTAGTCTTTCATTCGCCTCCACTCAGCTGCTGACTTTTGTGGTTTCTGAGATGAAATGTTGATTTAGGACTAGTGGAATTGACCAATCTCATCTCTTCCTTTCCATCTAATTTTATACTCTTATTCCCTAATAGTCTTATTTGCCACCACTCTGCATTCTTCTTGTGCATTACCAATAAAATGTATTCATTATGTCCTTCTCTCTCCCTTGCTAATGTCTTAGAACAAATTGTACCCTGCTGCTTTATCTTTTGCTGGAGCAAAGTCAAGGCACAAAGCTGGCCCAGGATTTGGTTAAGATTGTTTTGAGCCATCTTTTCCTACAACCCTAGATGAGTTATTCTCTGAAGTCCTCAATCACAGCCAAGGATTTGGACCATTATTAATTAGTTATAATTAATAATTGTTAAGTGCCTACAGTGCTCTTGTAGCACAAAAAAGGGCAGATTTCTTGCCTAGAAAAGCTATGTATGGGATGTCTGCACTGCAATCTCCTATGTCCAAGCCAGCTTTAAAATACTCAGGTATATAAGTAATATATAAGATAATACTTACCTTACTTACCCTACCTTAAAGTGCACTGAGCTCTGCAAGCAGCTTCTACAACCCCAGTGAGCTTTGACTTCACCAGAGCACATTCACTGCCCTGCACCCCTTCATCCTGTCTGAGATCAGGCAGGCAGATGCCAAAGGAAAAGCTGTGGCCTTTCAGCTGTACTGAATTTCACCAACTTACCATTTCCTTGCACTACCCTGGGGTTATTTCACTCAGACTCCTTTGCAAATACATTGCTCTGCATTTTGTCCATCTTTCTCACTTCTCCTCCCTTCTATTTTAGATGAATGACAGCACACTTGCTATTGCTGGTAAGTCTTCATTCACTACAAAGTTGGAATAACTTACCATGGAAGTACAGTCCCAGTTATAGATGAATGACAACACTTTTACTATAGCTGGTTAGTTTCCATTGACTGCAAAGTCAGAATAACTTGCAGTAAAAATAATGTCCTGATTATAGATGAATTACAACACTTTTGCTATTGTGAGGGAGCACCTGTGGATTGCAAAGCTGTTAGTAACCTACAATACAAATGTTGTTCCAAGAAAGGTTGCAGCTTAGTCAGATGATAACCTTTTTAGTCCTTTTCCAGCACTGCAGATTCTGCTTTCTGGCAATAGCTATAGCCAGTTCCATAATTTGGATTTCAAATTTAGTAAGTGATAAATCATGCATGAGACCCAAAATATACAAAGCAGCAGTTGCAAAAATATTCTTCCTCAGTATTTTAGAAAGAACATCACAAATTTTTTTTGCCAAAAGAATTAATGTTTCTATAAAAAGACATGTGAAGAAATGAGCTCTTAAGAGATTACAACATTAACACATGCCATTATTATTACTATAACTAGCTGGAAACTGTTTCAGAATGTAGATATACTCTATAAAATCAATGAGAAGGAATTCCTTGCAACTGGCCCTAAGTCACGCTCACAGGACTAGGGATCTTAACCATAATCACTCTCTGCTGAGTATTTATTTATTCTGCACTTCCTCTGTTAGTTCAGCTCCCATGTGTCACAAATACAACCACATAAACAGTGATGGATTTGCTCCAGCTCCTTCCACCCTCAGACAGCACAGAACCACCTCGTAGCCTATTTCCTGTGTCACAGGTTTATTTCTAAACAACTCATCCTGAGTGTTTGACACTGCCTGGAGTGCTGCAGTCAGGAATTCAGCTACTACGGTCAACTGAGTGCTTTCCAAGAATACACTCATTAAACAGTGCTGCTGGAGACTCTACATCCAAATCCTTGCTGAATGCTGGCCTTTCTTACTGTTAATAAGAAAGGATTCATCTTCTGGAGAGTGTAAATAAGTAGAGGTAGGAAAAGACCAATAAAAATTCCCCACCAGGATTTTTTCAGAGTATTCAAAAAACAACTTTCTGCTATCTGGAATACATTTTACTGCCAGAAGTTCTTCTTTGTAAAACTTCCCTTGTTTCTCTTAGGCTTACTGTGTCTAGATAAATTCTATCTTCCCTGATTTTTTTCTCTTCTAAATAGCTGTAAATTTTATCACAGATTTCTTCAGACATCAACTATCCCAAAAATATCAACTGCTTTTTGTCACCAAACCAAATTTTTCATTGTTCCCATAGCTCACTTTCTCAGAAGCTTCCACTGACACTTTGTGGTTTTGTTCTAAGCTCCCTCCCATGTCTCTAGTCCTGAGGACGAGGACACAAAATTATTCTTTATTCAAGGTACAAACAACTGCTCTTTGCTTCTGAACATGGAAAGAGAAATCATATTTCAAGAGACTGTTTCCACTAGAGTTGTTGTCAGTCTTAAAGATTCTGTGGATTTCTAATAAAGCACAGGTAGCACCAACTGGAGACAGAATGATTTGTAACCCTAAGAGATGCTCAGACAATAATTTTATTTAATTGTCACGACTGATTGAACATTTCTAAACTTCCAATTGTGAATAGAGGCTGCTTTGTGCAAGGAAATGACTCTTCTAACAATGATCCATTCATTCTGCTGTGACTACACCAGTGGGTGAAGGGGAAATGCCAGCTTTGCAATGTTTTAAATTATTATTATTATTAAAACAACTGTACTGGGATATTGGCACATCTACAAAGAAATAAAACCCTCCCACTGCTTACCTGTTCATGGTTTAGAATCATCCTAAACTGCTAGCAGCCACAACCATTGGCATCTGATAGGGTTGGTATATTCATAAAGTCATCAATAAAATCCTCCAAGAGCTCCTGGACAAAATCAAACAGAAAAAGGAAGTCTACAGAGGATGGAACAGGTAGCCTGAGAGGAATATAGACAGAATTGTAGCCAGGAATCAGATTATGAAAACCAAAACCCTAAAGGAAATAAACCTGGCCAGGAACACCAAAGAGGACAAAAAAGGCTTCTACAGGTACATTGATGATAAAAGAAAAACCAAGGAAAATGTGGGCCAACTTCAGAAGGAAGTGGAAGAGCTGGTTACCCAGGTGGGACATGGAGAAGGGTGAGATTTCAATGATGGTTTTGCCTCCATTTCCAGCGGCAGGGGCTCCAGCCACAGCAGCCAAGTCACAGAAGGCAAAGGCAGTGACTGGGGGAATGAAGAACCCCCCAGTGTAAGGGAAGAACAGGTACCAGAGCATCTGAGGAGTGTGAAGGTGTGAAATCCATGGAACCTGAGGAGGTGCATGAGGTGCATGGGTCCTGAGGGCACCAGTGGATAAAGAGGTGCCACTATCCATCCTATTTGAGAAATTGTGGCAATCTGGTGAAGCTGGCAGTTGGTGGATAAGGAATTGGCTGGATGGTCACTCTCCCAGAGCTGTGCTCAGCAGCTCCATGTCCAGGTGGAAACCAGCAATGAGTGGTGCTCCTCTGGGGTCACTGTGGGGGCTGCTGCTGTCCAACACCTCCATCAGGGACAGGGACTGTGGAGGGAGTGCACCCTCAGTGTGTTTGCCAGGGACACAAGCTGAGTGGTGCTGGAGGGAAGGGACAGCACAGGGACCTTGACAGGATTGGGCCTACCTGAACCTTGTGAAGCTCAACAAGACCAAGTGTAAGGTCCTGCACCTGGATCTTGGCATCCATCCCTGGAAGTGTTCAAGGCCAGTTTAGGTGGGCCTTTGAGCAACTTGCTGCAGTGGAAGTGTCCCTGCCTAAGGCAGGGGGTTGGAACTAGATGGTCTTCAAGGTCTCTTCCAACCCAAGCCAGCCTAGGATTCTGTGATTCTACAAATATGACCTGATGTGTTGGTAATAACATGTTCAGATAAAAATCCTAGAAAGGTAAGATACCCATCTCTTTCCACAAGAAGTGATGGATAAGGTGGAAAATGCACAATTAAATGGGAAGCTATGCAAGGTTGCCAGCCTGTTCCTAGAACCCAGCAGCAAGGGCAATCCTTGTGTGCTCCTTTGGAGAAATGGCTGAGAACAGGAGCAGGAAATGAAATGGGGCTTCAGCAAGAAGGTGGGGAGGTTACAATGCTAAAAAATTAATAAAACGCTGTATGAATTCATCAGCATTTGTCCTGAGAAAATAACAAGTCATTGATCTACAAAGGCAGGGAATGAATTAAATTTTTTTTAAGGAATTACCATATAATCATGTTTCATAGACATCACTCTAAACATAACACCATTACTCTAAACCAAATCCAGAGAAAATATAATACCAAAATCAGTCTGCCATTGTAGAGGTGGGCTTTGCGTTTATCTGTTTAATTTTGGCTTTAAAACCAAAGGAGGCCAGTTACTCTGATAAAGCTGCTCTGCATTCCCCTTCCATCTCTTAACTTCATCAGAAAAACACAAAGGGAGTTTTAAAGCAAACACATTACAAGATTCATTTGACAATAACCATCATGAACTTCACATTCTTCTCCATAATCTGGGACAGATGGAGTGTCCAGAGGACAGCTGAAGGCAGATATGTGCCTCCTGTCCCAGCAAAGCACAGGGATTCCTGTCTCACAAGGGTCCTTTCAGGTTGATCACACTTGTGGTAACTCAGAGCAGGCTGCAGGGTTTGCTTGGGAAGGGAGAGGAGTCAGGTAAAGCTCAGAAGATGAACCAGCCCAGGGAATCCCAGGGGGATTTCATGCATGAATTACATCATGTTAGGTCAAAGCACGCCACAAGAAGTGTTGCCTTTGAACCTGAACCTGAAAATGGGACTGAAAGCATTGCTTTGGAATCCTACTCTGTGACTTCTACAGAGATGTAGGAAATTTCACCCTAGTAAATAAATTCTGGTTGCATTCATATTAAATTAAATAAGAAAGAAGTGCTCTTGCTTCCACTTACATTGAGATCACTGAGGAAAGCCCAAAGCTGTTGATGTTTTTGGGAAGATCAGTGTGGTGTAGGCTGCAGGAAGGTGTTGGACACAGAAGTTCTTCTTGAGCACAGCTAGATCCACGAGCTTTCTCTATGAACCTCTTCATTTGCAGCATTTTCAGGCAATTTTTGGAGTGGATCTTTTAAGTCACAGAAATAAGCAAGTTTCCCTCATTATCAGTGCATTACAGCCTCAGCCAGGACAGCAATGCTGGTTCATGTGCTCCACAAGTACCTGAGCATGTCCTGTTTGTGTCAGTTAACCTTTAACATAAATCAAACCCACACAAACTGTCACCTTACAGCAGGGCATTTCTTCTTCCCTCCAGTTTCAAACACAGCAGCTCATCTTTTCATTTATATGAAGATCTTCTACATCAATTACAGCTGAATTTTATGCTATAATTAAGATCCCTTTGCACCAAAAAAAAAGTGGTTCAAAATGCATTAATTAATTACATTAAATAAGCACACAAGAGACTGCCTTGCATTTTTGGTTCCTCATCTAAGATTTCTGTGAAGCCAGCTGCAATTGACAAAATTGCTCAGCTTCACAAGCTCAAATTCTTAGACCTTTTGGACATCTTACTGGTTCCTGTGAGGGCTCTCAAGCAGCCAAAAATGCATTTCTCTTCCTACATCATGCTGTGTGTACTTTTGCAAAATCCTTCACAACAGGTTTTCCTCAAAAGCTGAGAATTTTCCATAGCTGAGGTTTTACCTACAAAGTTCTGCAGACAGACTCTCCTGGGATGCTGACCTCACTTGTTTAATGATTCCTCTCCAGCTACTGCATTCTTACAGCAACTGTACCAAGGAGTTCTGGCTGGTTCTAGGAACCAGGGAAAGGCTTGTCCAAGTGTATTCAGGGGACTTAAATGTAACAGCAGAGACAATCCTGTTAATCCACAAGGCAATTTAAAAAATTCGTACTAAGCACCCCAGATTTTATCTTCATTGTCTCTTCTCCTTTATTCTGTAAAGAAAAATTTTGTTTAATGTTAAATTAAATTAAATTATGGCTGTGACAGATGGGTATAGAAACTATGGAGTAATTGCAGAAGGGTGGTCATTAGTAGGGAAAGACAGAAATGCTTAGTTGGAAACAGTGATCTTCCATAATCCATCAAAATGCCAAGATTGCTGAATATTCACTTCAAAAGACAGATTCTTTACAGTGGGTTTGTCCAAATGGGAGTGTTGTGCAGAATTCTGGTTTCTGGTGTCTTTGGCACAGTGGGAATAAATGCTGAAGAATCCCCATGCCTTTACAAAGCTTACTGGGAATCTTCGTGCAAGCAAAGGGAAGGGTTGGAAGCTGTGACCACGTGAGACACAAATCAGAGCCCACATTCAGAGTACCTGGCTGGCAGCACCCAAGGGGCTGGAGGATGGAGCTGCTGGTGCCATGCTCTCCCTCTGCACTGCCTGCTTAGCTCCTCTGGGGTGGAAGGAGAGATAATGGCAGCCTTTGGCTTCATGCCTGTCATTGCCATGACACTTCCATACGTTCCCTTCAGCACTGTGGATGTCTCCCTGCACCTCTCAGCAGCAGCAGCAGTTACTCCACAGGAAACGTCTCGAAATAAGCCTTTCATTTGAGGAGTCTGCCAAAATAAAAACACTTTTAGAAAGAGAAAACTGATCTGCTAAACAGAAATAAATCTGAAATTAACCGAAACCAAAATCACATGTTTCCCCCCGACGCCCCCACCCAGGTCTCTGCATGTTGGGAACCTTAAGCTCCACTCTGAAACTAAATTAGACTTGCAGTCTGAAAACTGACCTCAGAGTCAAACTTTGGTGGCTTGAGATGATATGTTCTCTTCTTAGATATAAATGCACAACTTTAGATCCCCTCTACTCACAAGTTGTTTCCTAGAAACAAAATCTTATGATTTTCTGTTCAATTAGATTGTGTATTTTAATTAATTCTCTAGTCTTTGTCTGGCAGCAAATCATCAAATAGAACAGACATCTGCACAGTTCTAATTGACTTAAATAGAAATAATGAATGTACAACCTTTGGGTTGATTGGACACCTGGATTATTTCTCACTGAGAAAAATAATACATCTATCCACAAGCAAATTTTCAGAAGAGAGAGTGTGATAATTTCATCAAAAAAGCATTAAGATAAAAAAGTGGGCTAGAATTACACACATTTACTGAGTAAAGCCTCTACTCCATCCCCTGTTAGGGCTTCACTTTGAAGACTGAAGTGAAACAGCAACAGTTTCTTTCTGAGATTTCCATAATAGAAGAGAAAGGAGGATCTGGTCCATGTATTTAGCTATAGACAATCAAGGAATTCTTCTGAGTAAAATACACCAGGATTTGCAGTCGCCACCTTTATTCCCTCTGACAGAAATAATTCCACTGAAATATTTTTTTTCCAGAGACATTGGGTTTACATTTCATTTAAAAGGATAAAGCTGTTGTTATATCTAGAAAGCAAGAAGCCTTTCCAAACAAAGAGTACTTTGAACCAATTTTTACAGAAGACAGACCATTTACTTCACAAAATTCAACTCTTGTATTTGGAATTTCATGTACAAAACACAAACCTTGGGAACAATTCCCATAAGAATTCATTCAACAAGCTTCATTATGTGGAAAGGGCATAAAGAAACCAAAAACCTAAAATGGCTGCTCTGCATTATATTGTTCTGTGGCTGCAAGCATGATTTACAACAATGCATTTTCTGCCCTTGTTTCTTTAGCTTAGTGCTGAATTATAAATGAACAACTGGATCCTGGCATTCTTCTAGTTTGAAAATAAAATTAACCTGTTTGAAGGACACTTTTTAAACACACTCAGTTATTGAATTCTTTACAAGGAAATGTTTTATTTGAAGAAAAAAGACCCCAACCCATCTCAGACCCTTCTGGTTTGCTCTTAAACAAAGAGTAAAGCTACATGTAAAACCAGGCCAAACAGCTGCATGTCAGCTTGTTTGATGAAGTTTCAATAACTGTGGATAACCAATTCACAGAAAAGGCAACTGGTTTGCTTTGGCTTGATTTGAATTTAGACATGCAGTAAGTTTGTCCACTGATGCAGGTATTTGACAACATGTGAAGTCTGCAAAATCACATTCAGTCTGCCTGACAGCATGAATCTTTTTGTCTGCTCAACACTTGTGGTCCATATCTGTTATTAAATAATGTACACAAATGCTGCAACAAATGAATCATAAATAATTACTGAGCATTTTTTCAATAGATGACGCAAGTCCCCGCCTCAGGGGTTTGTTATCTACCTCAAAAATGGGCTAAAAAGATGGAAAATCATACACAACAGCAGAAATCAGAAGGGGTCTGGCACTGCTCAGTACTAAAGGCTTGAGAGAAAATGTTGGTATGAGGGAAGAGGAGGCAGAAGTGTGAAGTTCAGAGCCAAGAGCACAGGAACACCAAAACCCACCCAAGTTTTGCTTTCACACTGGGTGTGAGCTCAAGACCTGCTGGAGGGAGAATCACCAGGTCCTTGCTGTATTTCAAGCTCTGTCCCAGCCAGACCTGAATATTTCTCATTAAACAGATGCATATCAAGGAAGGTGTGACCAATCTGAGAGATGCTGCTGTGCTTTGTGTCTGCAGGCCCCCAGCTGGGCATGGAGCTTGTCCCTGTGCCTTTCCAAAGGCCTCAGTGGGGCATTCCCAGGGGTCAAGGCTGTCCCAGCACTTTGCATCCTCTGGCCACAGCCACCAAAATAGCCCTGGAGCTGTCAACCACAGCCCTGGGGAACAGGGGAGGTTCTTCAGCTCTCTCCTTGTATTACAGGCCTGGATTAGGCTGATTTAGCCTTTTTTTTTTTTTTTTTTTTGTAAATAAGGCATCGGGATCTGCCAACAACATTCCTCTCATTTTATCTGATCTCCTAAGAATTATTTTTAGTAAGAACTGGTTTACCCTGAAAGAAAGCTATTCTCTAAAAAAAGCTTTGTACACTTAAGACATATGGGACAGAAGGAAGCCTGCATCTAGCATTGCTTTTTTCTTTCAGTCACCAGAAAAACCCTGAAATTGCCCTTTTTAGCAAAGAGAAAAGATAAATGGGTTCATTCTGAATCAAAAATAATAGATCTGTCTTGTGCCATTCTTGACAACCTTTTCTGAAGTCTCATTAGCTCACAGAACATGTGCACAACTCCTACCTCTAAGAAATCCACACAGGTGTAATTCCACTGAAATAACAGTTGAATAGCTGTAGTAGAACCAGAGCTATTTTTGTCACTTCTCTCACCAAAATTAAATGCAATAGATACTTTGCAGAGGTTGCAGCAGCCAGTCCTCCTTTCTGACAAGCTTACAAGCACTGGAGACATTGCTTGGGGTCATCATACTCCGTATTTTGGTGCACAGACTTAGTGAATGGCATGCATGTTATGCTTACTAAGCTACTTTGGATAAACATGGAAAAAATCTAGTGGTGTAGCTGTCACAGACCAAAATGGTTCCATGTGCTGTGTGATTTGAAGGGAGATTCCTTTGCTGTGTGTCATTTACCTTTTATACATTGCTGCTGAGCAGTCTTTCATAACCATTCATTCTTTGGATGCCCACACTGACATTGTTATATACATACAGGCAGGAAAAATGGGAACTGGGTGTTCTTACTCCACGTCACATTATAGTCCACAAACAGCTTTATTGCTCTTTACCATGTTTGGGAACAAAGGCAAAGGGATGACCTGTGTCTCACAGCAGAACAATTTCCTCCTCACACTTGGAAAACAGAGCTCCTCTCTTTTACATATGGTTTATGTACACATGCATACCCTTGGGACATCAGGAGCTGAGGAGAAAAACCTCTCCTCTTTCATATGTAAATCAGTGACAGCCCTGCTCATGTGCTAAATGATAAATAAGCTGGCATGGTGGAGTCAGCAAAAAACTTTCAGGCTTTGATTTTTAACATCATTTCTCAAGCCATGATCCTGCAAGTCGTAAGGATTTTTGAGTAGGTTGGGCCCTGTCATGAATAAGTGTTGGCATAACTGATACAACAGCAAACAGCTTTGGGAAAAGAGCTGCTTGTGTCTCTATGGCACAGAGCACAAAACCATCTCAGTGATCCCTGCCTTTCCTGGCACACCTGGAGGGCACTCACTGTGCCTCAGTCACTGGGAATTCCCTGAATCCATTGACACCATGGGGAGAGAATTATGATATTTAGGATTGCAGTTAATGTGGGATCTGTTTTTCCCTCCTGTTCCCTGTGGCACTCTGAAACCACCCTGTGATGCCTCTGTGTCTCCCTTTCTGCCTTCATGGTGATCATTTCCCCATGCCAGGAAGTCTGAGAGCCTGTAAATGTGTTTAATGTGAGCTGAGGTCGTTGGTTAAAATTTTCAAAGCAGATGTGGCTATTTCATCCAGGAGGTTGTGACATTATGGATATTAAAGATAAGGCTTCCCATAGCTGAGGTTGTTACACTCTCCATTTAATTCACTGTTTTCTTGCTGAATTACAGTATTCCAACATTAGCAAGCACTAATGATGACAGCTGAAAGTTACACTGCTGGGTGTCCAATTTATCTCAATTCTTGGGAATAAATCTAACCCAATAAAGTAATCCAAGCAAAAATGAAGGATACTGTGTTGCCTTAAAAACATTCACATCCTTTCCTACAGTAATCCAAGGCCATCCATACCCTGATGGATCACAAATGCTGATATCAAGGAGGCAATTTTTACTGTTCTTTTCAGAAGCCTCTCAGTTAGAGCAAACCTCTGCCAATTGCTTCTCAGTCATTCATTAAATGATGGGCAAGCTTGGATTAAACTTGTGTGCTGTGACACAGAGCAGGGTGGAAATGCAGGGGGAGTAGCCCTGTGACAAGATTTTTGGGGTACCTGGAGTACCACAGAGCTTGGAAGCAAGGGAGCCTAGGATGAGGTCTAGAAGAAGACCTCTCTTCACTGTCTCTTCTGAAAATTTGCTTGTGGATAGGTGTACTATTTTTCTCAGTGAGAAATAATCCAATCAACCCAAAGGTTGTACATTCATTATTTCTATTTCAGTCTGGAATTCCTGGCAGGTGGAATATGGCAGTGGTGGGGACTAAAACTTGAAGCTGAAAGGAGACTGAAAAACAGAGATGGAGACAAGGAGATGTAAGGCTAAAAGGGCTAAGCTGGGAGTGTAAGAAGGAAAAGCTAGAGTAAGTAGGAGTCGCACACTTCAGAGTTGTGTTAAGAGCTGACACTGTGCCTAGATGGGTTCCTCCCAGAATCTGGAATAGAACCCTAAATTTCTGACTTGATCTACTAAAATAAAAAGAAAAGGGAAAAAAAGGATTCCTTTTCTCTTTGCAGCCTGCACAGGGATGATACACTGTTGCGGTGTGTTTTAAACTTCCAGGTCCCTTACCCAGGTGTGCCAAAACCCTTCCTTCCCCCCTCGCCCCCTTGCTGAGTGAGTCCTGTCAATCAGGCTTAACATTCCAGCAAAGGCGTCCGTGTGGTTGGTCAAATTCAAAGGATGCCCCCCAGGCCCAGAGGTCATTGGCCTGTCTAGGTGTCCCTCGTCCCTTGAGACCCTGCCCCCCCACCTGGTTGGTGGCTCACCTGTCCCCCTCCCCTCTCCCGAGCTTAAAAGGTGAAGCACGCCATGTGCTCTGTATTCTGTTGGAGGTCTTCCCAACATTCAGACTTCTGTAACCATGGAATAAACCACTGCATATAACCCTCCAGCAGAATCCCTCCTTTTTTCTCTTAACCTTCGCCTGAAGTCTTCTTCCTAAGGTAAACGGAGTTCCTAACAAGTCTGGACTTGTTTAGTGCCCAGCTGAAACCATCAGCAAGCTAAAGGTGTCTCTGGGATGATACACCACAAAAGCCGCCTTTGGCTCAGCAGCGAGGGTCAGACTGGCCCAGGCACAATCTAACTGGTAATATTGGGATTCATATTCCAATAATACACTACTGCACAGTGAGAGTTGTCCATGAACCTCTGCTTCAATCTGTGGATCTGGAATTCCTTCCAATGAAACAAATGGAACTCAATGTAGTAACATGTGCAAGGAAACCAACTTGCCTTCCTTAAAAAGCTAAGGAATTCTTCAATATGTGTGTATTTGTGAATATATATGCACACACTCACAAAAAGCAGTGTGAAGGGAACTTGTGATGCCTTCAGAAAGCAGGAAGTGCAGGAATACAACAATTGGAGCTCAACCATTGCTCAGCTGCTCTGAGCACTTCCATTTTTATCCAGTCTATTTCTTCCACCTCATGCAGAGGTTCCTCCAAGTCCTCCTGCGCTCCTCAGTTGCTTCAGCCTTTTATTCCTGGGAAGTGTTTGGGCAGTGGTATTCCCTAAGCCAGAGAACCAGGCTGTTCATGGGCTGCTTCACCATCTAAAGATTCTGGACTGCAATTCCATAGCTGGAACTTTTCACTGCAGTGCTCAAATAGAATTCAACCAACCCCCAGCTTGTCTCGCTGTTCTTCCTACTCTTCTTCCTTTTATTTTTTCTTTGCTCCTTGGGGTTTTATATATTTTTTTTCACACTTTTTCAACAAAAAATGAAAGCATTCTATATTTCTTCATCGCTCTTTTCCTTTCCACCTCTTCTGTTTCTGTGCTTCTTTTCCACAATTAGCTCTTTTATTTTTTTTCCTTCTTCATTTTTATTTCTCTCTCCTGTCACAAAGAATGAAGCTTGAGCCTGGATCTTGCATTATCTTAATAATTATTTGACCCTGTGTTACATCTTCAGACCACCACTATAGTCACAAGAGTTAAAACATATATATATATATATTTAATATTTTTTCTATAAAAACTGATCCCAGGCAGCCTTCCAATTATGATATCAGCCTTGTAAAGTTTGCCTGAATTTGCTGACATCCTGAAGTAATGATCTCAAGAGGTGTATTCTCCTGGCTGAAAGGGCCAGCAATGACACATCAGTCAGGGTTAGCCTGCCCACAGCTGATTGTTTTGGGGGTTGGAATGGTAAAAGTGGAGACAATGGAGCCCCCCAAGAGGCAAGATCTGGAAACAGCTGGAATAAAGATGCGCAGGAAGGATGAGGGGTTAGGAAAAGAAAACCCAAGGAGAAAAAGGAGGAGCTCAAGAGCCCAGAGGCAGAAGCAGTAGTAGCCTGCAGCAGAGATTTTCTGAGTGTGATGGAGAACAGGAAAACAAAAACTGATTAACTTTTAGTTACAAAGTAATTTTAATCCATGAAAAAGCCTCCTGGTGGTATCAGTATGAGAGCCAGTGATTACTGGGGAGATTATGATGAAACACCACAGCCTGCTTTCTTTTCTCCTCAGCTCTGCTCCATCATCTTCCTTATCCCTCCCTATTTTCCCTGCCCAGACCTGTCCAGTTCTTACAGGAGTTAACAAAGAACTTTGCCATCAACTCCAGGAGGAGCACAGTTGTGAATTATTGTAAATTGAGGCCAGCCTTGGCAACAGGCTCACAGAAGGGCCAGTTCCACATCAGGAAGCAGAGGACATTTCACTGACAGTGATAATGCACTGTCAAGCAATAAAACTTCTGGTTTCTGGCATATTTTGGAGCAACATGACAAAAAATTGCAGAATCCACAACTATTATCCTACCCACAGTTTTCTACTGACCCTAATTACAGTTCTGTTGCTCAAGCTATATAATTTGATTTTCAACAGCACACCAAAAAGGCAGGAGCTCAGCAGTTCCCAGAGTGATTGCACAGTTTGCTGGACAAATGTGTTTTGCTTCTGGTCAGGACTTAGGTGAAAAATTAATTAGGAAGTTAGATGTCCAAACATGTCTCCAGTAGGTCTAGAGAGCAAGAACAGTTAGTTAGGGCTGGCTTGCCTGGATGCCACTCCAAATGTGGAAAGTTGCCAGTAGCTCTTTTCTCTAATGGCAGGTGGTAGATCCAGTGGAGGCCACAGTGTTCTTGCACTTTCATCCCAAGTGTCATTTTCATGTTTTCAGAGATAACCAAAGGACTAAGCACCACTGGTGTGGTGGCCCTCGTGCATATGACAACAAAAATAATGCTGGAAAAGGAGATACTCATTTTACTCACCATGTTTGGACCTCAAAGCATTTTGCCTTTCTCTTATTTCCATACAGGTACATTCTTGTTTATTTTGCCATTGAAGTCCTTAATTTTATTTTTTTTTTGTCTAATTGTTGTTGACACACAGCTGTCACACACCACTCTGCCAGATGAGCATGGCTGTGGCTCACTCAGGAGCTGCACCCTCAGCTAACCTGTCCTTCTGAAGGAGGCTTTTCCACCTGATGCAGCTGAAGTCTTTGCTTCCATCCCTGCAGAGAGACCAGTGCAAACCCAGCCAAAAATCCAGCTGAGGGGAATGTGAGCAGGCAATCAGCAAAATCCACCAGAGCTCACCTCTCAACATGGAGTCCTGTTCTTGGCATCAGTGGGAATCTTCCTCTGACTGAAGGGAAAAGTAGCAAGGGACATGATTTTAGATTGTTACTGATTTTGTTTCACTTTCAAAGGCAGCAAGATTAAAATTTGAATTCTAACTATGTGCCTTTTTTTTTTTAAGGCACAGCAGCTAACTAATTCCCATCAGTGCTTTCCCTAAGATCAGAAGCAAAGTTGTCACTAAAATATATTTTTTCAATCCCAAGCCAGGCATATAAGTACATTGCCTAAGATGAATCAGTTCAATGGTGCTCTCATTCTGTGTTTAATAATAAAATAAAACCAAAAATTACTAATGAAATCCCAAATCCTGCAGGGTATTGAAAATTGCAGAATATTGTCTGAGCCTGCACTCTGACCCCAGCTTATGTTTGCCTGCTGAAGCATAGTAAGCACATATGATATTATAGAGCAAATAAAAAACACAATTAAGGCAACACATTCAGGCAGATAAAACTAATGAAAGGTTTAGCTCTTCTCAAAAATAATGTGCTCAATAGAAGACAATCCCTTGAAGCACGTGGAATGTCTAACATAATACATTTCCATGCTTAGGTTTTCAAAACTGCAAAATACAGACATTTATAGATACGTGTCTCAAATGTAAAATAATCTTTTTGGAAGGAGTAGACAGTATCTCTTTCTGACACACTGAAGGGGAATAATGTTCATTGTTTATGCATTTGCTCAATCAGTGGAATTTTGCATGGCTAAACTTCACTTCATCAGATGTATATCAGTTTAAATTAGCTCAAAATCCAACTCAACATTCATTTTTTGATCACAATCTTCAGAGGAACTGATTTATCAGGATGCCTAAATCCAGATGCACTACAAATATGCCAGGAAAGACAAATAAGCCTCTTGGCATAAAACAAATGAGCCAGGAGGAAAAAAAAATGTGAAAAAAGGAACAGCTTAGGGAAAATAAGGAGAAACCTGCCAGTGGGAAGAATGCAGAGTTTCAGATTCCAGACACTACCCCACTTGGGTTTCCCCAGTTCTACCTTCCCTCCAGCCCTTCCAGTTTTATTTTTATTTTTATTTTTATTTTTATTTTTATTTTTATTTTTATTTTTATTTTTATTTTTATTTTTATTTTTATTTTTATTATTTTTATTTAATTTTAATTTTAATTTTTTTTAATTTTTATTCTTATTTTTATTCTTTTTTTACCATTGCCTTCCGGACCACCTTCCCTGCTTGCATCCATCAGCTCTCCAGTTTTGCATTTGCATTACTTTTTAAACCACATCTCTTCAACAAACCTTAGAAACCATTTGTGGTGCCTGAATGAGAACAGCTTGGAAGGACCAAAAAGCTTTGGGCATGCTCTGAGCAATGGTAGCTGCCTGGGTATGCTTTGAGCTCCCAACACATACAAAACCAATCACCCCAAGAACAGGATTTTAAAATGAAAGGCAGTTAACAGCAGACCCTTATCATCCTTCTGTCAGGTTTGCTGATTGTGGAGCTGTGAAGACTTTGTAGAAGAGGAAAGTTTATGTAAGAGGAAAAAGTGAAGGAAAATTAATATGTTTGTATGATACCAATATTGTCAAGAAACAGTAGCCAAGTGTTAGAATAACTAACCTTTGAGAAATTGGGGATTAAAGGCAAAGTACTTCTGGCCACAGACCAGGCCTCCTTAGCTGGGGAGCAGCCCAACAGAGGGAAATCCTTTTTCCTGCATAAACTCTCCACTGATGGTGGCTAATTAACCTGGTATTTGGTTAAAAATTTAACATATTTGTCAGATCTGACTCAGTTCTTATTCATCAGCATTTAAGAACACAACAATGTCTCATTTCCATCCATGTTCATGTAGTCTGGCTTGTACAGAGAGGTAAATGAACTCAGAGAAGTTAGATCATGCAGAAGAAAGAGTTTTATCAGGTAGCCCTGAGTGTAAGACAGTCAGTGCCACATACATTACCATTAAACACTGTATTTCATTTTGCTCCTTTTGTTTCCTATCAGACTCCCTAGAGGCCTCAGTTTGTATTCATTCACTCTCTCAAACGTCTTCCCAGATGCTCAAATCCCACTTCTGTTATTGCAGTTTCTTTTAAATTTGTCTGGATCCCTTGTGCAGAGTCAGGACTTTGCTGTTCCTTAGCTCAGCACTCTCCTGGCTGGACTCCAGCTCAGGTAATTATATCCAGAGCTCCCTCTGACTTCCCTCTCTGGCTGCCTTTGGAGAAGTTATTCTTCCTTTTCTTTTGCAAGCTGCTTTATAACATTGCAGGTCCTGGGAACTGATGGGATGTGTATTTTGGAGAGGCTGTGCATTATGCATTAGGGGTGAACCAACACCTTCCTCAGTGGGACTGAAAGTACTGACACAGCTTCCTTTCTTTTTCATTTCAATGCTATTTTAAGGGGGCAGTTGTGACACCAAGCAGAAGCTGAAGGACAAAAATTTGGTCCAGATGAATCTGTTGTTGCTATTTGGATGTGGAGACTTCACCCTCTAATTTCCTATTCTGAATCTAGCCTGGATTTGTTCAATAGCTGTTCAGTGGCTTATGTCACTTGAGCTGGTTGTCACAAGATGCTCACAAAAATAGATTCCTCACTTTTTGGGAGAAATATCAATACAGAGGCTAAAGAGAGAGCAAGTTCTGCTAGAGGTGATGCTGCTACATCAGCCAGGAGGCAAAACACAAAGCAAAAGCAGTAGAAAACTTAATCTTGCAGTGCCTCTGTTCAATCCAGCAGTTCTCTCTTTCTTATATTTATCCAGTGCTAGAACAAAGACAGTTCAGGGTATCCTTTCCAATGAAAAGGATTCATGTAGAATCACCAGGAGTCTAAAACATTAAGAGAGAAAAAATATTTTCCTTCTTAACTAAGAAGCATGTACCATAAAGTTAGGCAAATTTCTGAAAGAAAAAGAGATATATAGTAGAACAACCCCCAAAATAAACAATTGTAATTGATCTCCTTACTAGACACTGCTCATTTCCTGCAGGATGTGGGCATGAGAACTGGCTGGAAATACTTATGCAAGCTCATGTAACTGCTCACTGCAGTGCAGTCCTTCCAAGGCAAAGAAAAGGATCTTCACACATCAAACAAGTAAACTCTGATCAATTCTCACTCCCTCACCTTGGAGGAATTTGAGTTGTTGCTATCAGCAGAATTTTAAGCTGTTCCCTAGTCTGGGCAGAACTGCTGCACTCAGAAAAATCTTAGGAAGACAAATGATTCAGGAGAGGTCAATCTGTGCTCAGGAGAAGCTTAAGAAATTCTTTCCTAATCTAAACTTGAAGGTTTTACCTTCATCATGGGCCATCTCTCAGGGGAGGATCATCAGAGAGCAGCCTCATCTTGGAATGGCCTCACCTGGAATGGAAATTGTGCCAAATCAGCTCCAGAGGACCCTTCATGCCTGCTCTGCACCCACAGGGAAATCCTTCACACCACAGAAATTCCTACCAAGGAAAAACAATAAAAGAAGCATCCATCAGATGAAAAAGCCATAAAGACTACATTCAATATATTTTTGTTTTCTTTTCATCCCAAATCTACAAGTTTTAAAAGCTGCCAGGTCCAGCTCAGCTTTCATGTTAAAAAATACCATTTATACCCAGAGAGGCCATGACTGAACTGGGATCACTTGCTGGATTTGGTTCTCCAGAGAAGTCAAAACCATCACAGCCTTCACATGATGATGTCCAGCCACCTGAGCTGGTTCCTGCACTTGTGAACAGAGGGGAAGGGAAGGAGCAGGAGTCTGTAGAAGTGCACATCTGGAAGTTTACCTTGACCCTGCTGCAGAGTGAAGTTAGCACGGCCTCTGTGTCCTGTAGTTTTGATGGCAGGACTTGGCCAGTGCAAAACCAGCTGGCACCAGGTTCATCTTCCCCCCCTCTGCTAAACAGCCCTTTCCTGCAAAAAGGAATGGACCCCACTGTGGTCAGTAACACTTTTATCCTCCCTCCCCTGCAGTTCAGGGGTACGTGAGCAGTCATAAATCCATATTTAAAGTGCTGTTGACTGCTTTAGAACTTGGGCAGAAAAGGAAATAAAGTAAGCACAAAAGCATGTGGCCCTTGCACTGTTAAACATGGCATCTAGTGCTGGGGATAACTAAAAGCATGAGCATGGTTGACTTAGGAACTAAATAAAACTGGAAGGCACTACAGTATGATTTATATCACATGGGTTTTTCTGTAATTTTTGTCAGTGAAGACCAGGAATAGGTGCAGGACAACAAGAACAAAAGTATTTTAGGATTCTTACTGCAATCAAAGCACTGGGGACAAGGAAAGAGTGAAAGTATACAAACATGCTTGAGCACTGGAATTTTTTTGAAGGAGAAATATTCACTCTATAATGGATCCATGTAGAATGGATGCTGTTGGCTTGCATTATACCAGGTGATTGATGATGGTGCAACATAAATAGCTAATGAGCAATGTAATCTGTATTTTTTCATGCTTGTTTATTTTCAAGAGGTGTTACAAGAATAAAGCAGATTCTACAGCTTCATAAACTTCAGCATCTGTTTCTTTTTTCTGTTTGAAAACTTTAAACATCAGGCAGGTTTTGGGACCTGCAAGCAAGCAAGTAAAAATTGCTTCCTCATGTCCAACCCAGGATTTTCTTATTAGTCATTATGAGTAAAGATGTCTAATGTAAGAATAGCCACAGTTTAATCCTCCACAGAACCCAAACATTTCAAGTCTATTGCTAACATTACCAGGTGAATTTGCATTGAACAGTGATATGGATTCTATCAAAGTGAAGCAAAGGCACTGCTTCTCCTTATGGAAGCTATGGATCAAATTCTCAAGAGTGCTGCAGGGTCTTTACACACAGGGCAAGCTCACCATGGTATACTCCTGACCTTACTTTAGTCCTTTGGTAAAAGAGCCTCAGACTGCTCCTGTACATTCCTGCAAGTGCAGTGACAATCTCCTGCTCCCAAAATTCTTTAGGGCAGCTCTGTATTTCCCTAAAGAAAAGCCTGTCAGAGAAACTAAAGGAATGCTTGAACTACAGTTTTACCAAAAGGTCATTTTTGGCTGTATGATTGCAAACTGTTTGTAGAGGAGTGCAACTGTTTTGAGTCCAACTTAAAAAAGAATGTGGAAATAACCATTAGCAAGCCAGAGGTGTCTGTGAAGATGATAGAGGATATATTGAGGGATATTAAGAGAGTGCTGAGATTCAGCTGGGAAAGATCAAAGGGAGGCAGATAACAGCCAGGGGACATCAGAGCACCATGAAAGTTGCTGAGGATGTAGGAAAAGCCTGGGTAGTGCTGTGGGACATAAGGGAAGCTGAACAAGATATGTATGTCAAGAAACATCCCAGGGAGATACAGAAAACCAGAGGACACATCCTCATGGCAGAGTTGTCTGAGAAGGCCTGGCAGTGGTGTGAGCTGCAAGCCTCAGGGTGATGGGGAAAGCCAGAGAAGGCTGAGAATTGCTGGGGACAAAAGACAGTCAGCCAACAGGAAGGAATGTTACTGAATGCCATCACATCTAGAAGGGCCACAGCTGCTGGGTAGAGCTACAAGGATGTTTGAAATAGCACAGTCAGAGTGTCCCTATGTTATGATGCTGGACATCAGTGATCAATAAAGTAAAATGAAGAACAATTAGAAATACACCAAGGAAAACACATCATATCACAAAATAGAAAAAAAAATTCATTGCTAGAGAGCATAAGGGAGAATCTGGAAAATTCTTTCAGCAAAAAGCTCCTCAGCCTTAGGAACCTTCTTGGAGCAGCTGCTAAGCCTGAAGAAGGCTGTAGCATGTTAGGGAATGAGAGAGCAACTGCAAGGTGCCAGAAAGAGCGAAGCAGATTGTGAGCTGAATGACAAATGTGTAAGTTGCTGGTTGCTATAAGGGGGCACAGAGTCAGGAAATGTTGGAGCCTGCTGTGCTGCTTCTGGAGGCACCCAGGAAGGATGCAGGTTGAAGGAACACTGTATAGGTTAAACAGCATCAAGAAATGTCAGAGAAGACCATGAACACCTTCAAGCCTGCTCAGCAGAGGGATCCAGACTAAGGCAGTGAATTACTGGAGTGGCAACAAAGAAACCAAGGCAAGGCTGTGATCTCCCAAGGGCCCAAGATACCAGGAGAAAGAATGCAGATCGCCAGGGGGACTGAAGAATGCTGCATATGAACAGGGAATAGGGACAACTGAAAGCTGTGGGATTGTCAGGAACCACAGGCTAAGGTCAGACTTAACTCAGATGTCTGGTTTCACCATTTCACTAATAGAAGAAAGATGTGGCCCAAGATAATCCTGCCTGCTTCTCTTCCAGAGAGCAGAACAGAACACATTTCAGTGCTGTCTTAAAGCAATGAAAGCTTCCTGCTGAACAACCATACAAGGCCATGTATGGAAAATAGCTATCTATCCTATGTCATTGTATGTGTTTAAACCGGGCCTTGGAAACCACACAAGACCAGGAGAGGAAAATAATCTCTTTGGGGCAAGGGAAAATCTTAAAGGAGTAAGTTGTGCTTAGGTCTGTGTGCTCATGCAAGGAGCCCTTCTGCCCTCCTCAGCACAGTCATAAGCAGGTAAATATCCCCAGTCTTTATCACGAGTTTATAAAATACTGAGAGAGACAAAAGCAGCGTGGAAAATATGTTTTATTCATGCACTCATCTAACTCCAGAGCACTGGTCCTAAATAGAGTAACATGGCCAATGTATTTATAATTCATAGTGCCAACTGGCTCTGGAGCACTGCCTTGCTGGAGCCTGGGCAGAGCGAGGCCCTCAGCCCCCATCTGGCAACCCAGTTTTACAGAGGAGACACTCTGTTTGAAACCTGCTCCTTGCTGCACATCTTCCCCGGGGAATGCCAGGCACCAGGACTCGAGCAGCACAGCTCCTCCCTTCCTCCCTCCAGCACGGCTCAGCCCCAGGAGAGACACTCTGCAGCCTGACTTTGGAAGACAAAGAGTTATTTTTTGTCAGATCTGCTGAGGTTTCCAACCTCTTTTCTTTGTTTGCCTTGGGTCTCTCAGTTTCTATATCAGGCTCTGGTTCAGCTTCCATTAGCGCTTCCTCATCAACCTTGCTAACAATGGTTTCTTCACTCAGGGTATCACCAGGATTATACTCACTGCCAGAATCCTCTGGCACAAAATCACTGTCTGAGTCACAGCAGAGAAATAATTAACCCTCATGATACTTCTCTGAAGAATGAACAGAATACCTAATAAGATTTATGGGACGTCCAACTGATGCTGCTCCTAAGGAGGAAAGCATCCTCTTGCTGAAGTTGTCATTGCCACCAAGGAGTGAGGAGGTTCCTGAGGGGACACAGGTGACATCCTCACCTTAAGGCAGTCTGCACCCCCTTCACTGAGTTAGTTACCTTAAATGTGTAAACAGCGAACCACTTGTCTACTGCTCTGGCCCTGCATTAGATCATGGTTTCATTTTCTTAAAAAAAAAATCTATCAGTCAATGGATTCTCAGCTTGTGTGAAACTGGCCAGGCTGGAGGAAAGTAGGGCAAGAATATCTTACCTGAAATTACCAGCATTTGATTTGCAAATGGCCTTCAAATACTCCTGATCATATTCTTGTTATGTAATTAGATTTATCATTTAACTTACAATTCCAGAACTGAAATAAAGCAGTTGAAAAATGTTCCCCACATATGGAGAAGAGTGCTGACCCACAGAAGAGAAATAAGCACCAAAATATATACAAATTCCAGGCTTTTGCTGTTTTCAGCTTTAGTGACAAGAGTTTTCCTTCCCTCCAAAAAGTAATCAGTCACTTCAGTGGCAGACATTTGCAACCAAAACTAATTAACTTTCCAGGTCCAGAAGGATCCCCTCCCAAAAGCTGATAATGTGCCTCAGTGGGGCAGAAAAAGGATAGTACAGTCCTAGCTGGCTGGGAGGGATCTCTGGAGAAGTACATATGATACAGATTTCTGTCTGCAAAAAACCAGTAGTCTGCTAAGATCTGGAAGCCTCAAAATCCTTTCACTTCTGCTGGGAATTTAGTTCAAAGCAGTTGCATGTAAATGTTGCATAGCAAATGCTACACTGGCAAATCTTTCTCATGATTCTTGTTTTTAAATCAACAAGAATAAACTATATAGAAGAGGATATAATATATAGAAGAGGAGCTTGCTTTAGGACTGCCAGTTTTGCCCTGTTTTAAACTAAAAGTGAAAACAACCCTAAGGAAAAAAAAAAAAAGGAAAATATATTTGAAATATGTATGAGCAAATGCACTGCCCTGCCTCATCCCTTTGTGCTGCATAAAGGGGACACAGATTGGCTGAATCTTTTGTACAGATTCATCAGAAAGCATGCAGCTCCCATTCCCAGTTCCTGTCCCTCCCAGCCAGGAGTGGGTCAGAGGCAGGGAGACAAAGCAAGAGGATCAGCAGCAGGCTGGGAATTGCCTGAAGGCTCATCATCTTTCTCCAGGCCCTAAAGGAGTGAGAGCAGTGAGTATTTCTTCCTCACTCACATCCCTTGCATGAGTGTTTCTGCTATCAGTGCGACCTCCACACTTCTGCCTCATCTAAAAGAAAGGGGAACTTTGTCAGTAATTCCTGAGGGAGGGAGATCACTTCAACCTCTGACTTACTCACTACTCATTAAAAAAAATGAGATCAGTAAAAGTTGCTAATGGAGAGAGGAAAACACCTCAGCACGAATGCAATGGTTAGGGCACATTGTAAATCTTGTTAGGAGCTATCCCTTCAACACACAATTACAGCCATGGCATGGAATTTATGCAGATATTCTCCCTGCCCCCACTCCCAAACACCACCTAGGTCTCCTTTCATATTTTTAATCTAATCCAAATCTGTTGAAAACAATAACCTTAGAGATTTTGAGGTTAAAATTCCTCTGCAGACCCAAGCCAACTAAAGAGCCAGGTAAATCTTTGCAACCTCCATGGCAAGGGTCTTAACAGCAGCAGTATGGTGGAAATAAGGAAGCCCTTCCCAGCACTGATCCCAGCTCTTGTGTTGCTTTATGTGGGTCTGTGAGCCCAGTACTGCACAAGCTCTGGATTAAACACCTCCTAGAAGAAGCTGCCATACTGCAGACACCCAAGGAATGTAATGTGTGTGCTTGCAGTTCTTCCAGGAACTGGCAACACAAATGTCAAGCATCCATTTTGATGCTAATTTGACCATAATTTGGGCCTCCACCCTCACCAGCCCTCGACCAAGGACAAAGACTTGAACAGGGGAGCTTGAGGAGCTTGCAGGGTCTTTATTCTGCTGGGCATTCTTGGCCACAGCTGCTGTAAGTGTGGGAAGGGGTAAATGGGGAAACAGCAATGCCAGCCAGGCTGCCCAGCAGGGCCCTGTGCTGGAGCCCAGGGGATGGGAGAAGCTGCTGATTCAGATCCTCTCCCCCTGCTCAGCCCGTCCTACTTCTTGTGGAAATTCCCACCTCCTGAGATCTGCCTGCAGAGCAGGCTCCTGTGGACACCCCCTCAGCTGCCTCAGTCACCCTGGGCCAGACTGAAATGGATTAAGTAGGAGGTTTTTGCTAGCCCAGTTTGATTGAAGTGGGTTGAGGGGTACTTACACATGCATTTCTGCAAACACATCCTGAGAGGGCATTCACTCCCAGGAAAAGGCAGTGAACAAGTAGCAGGGACCACAGCTAAATCAAGAGTCCACTCAAATGAGGCTCTGCAGATTCAGGGACAGGCATGGATTTTCTTTGCAAATAGTGAATTAATATTTCCCCCAGCACAGGGAGAAGGGGAAGCCTGTTACTCTCACTTGAGCAAGAAGCTGGCAGGGTTCACCTGCCAGAAAAGTTCAGGCCTGAGCATCACAGCTGCTCTGTCTCCCTTTCTGCAGGCTGAACTGAGGAGGAGGAGGCAATTTCCATCTGATCCAGGCTCAGACATGTAGCTCAGAATTAGAAGTCAGGTTGAAAAATTCGGAAAGCCCTTCCAGCCCAGCTGCAGTCACACAGCTCCAGAGGATTTGGGAAGGTATCACTGTAAGCATCTAATCTCTCCTGCCTCTTCGGGTGCTTTGTACTCAATTACGTCAGCCAGGCAGCATGAACAGCACAGGTAAACCAGCCTTAAGTCATGCCTATCAAATAAAAGCTTTGCTGCTTAAAGATTAATGTAAGAAATCAATGTGCTTGCAGCTTGTGCCAGCAGATGATCTAAGCCCATCTTAAGCAGGCTCAGAAACTTCACGTAATGGTGATACAAAATCTATGAGCAGTTAATGCTGAGACTGTCTGTCTGCTCCCAGAGTGCCTCAAATGCTGGTTCATGAGCTGGCTACCAGATGTGCTCCTCTTCTCCCTGAAGGCCATCACGAGGGCTGCTACTTCATTCTCAAATCTCAGCAGCCAGCGTGGTGACAGCACAGAGGCTGCTCTCTAATATGTCTCCTGCATGACAGCACATCCATTTGAATGCCTTGTTATGCTGAAGGAACTGGAGTGATCACTTCACAGGAAGGGATGAATCTTTCCAGCTATCAAAACTGAGCAGCTTAACAAGAACACTGTCAGAACAGCACCCAAAAATGAAAGGGCAGCTTCTGTTCAGGATAGAACACGGCCATAGGAAGGGATGACTCTCTGGCCAGAGCAATGGCTGTTGCCATCCACATCCATACTTTCCCTAACAAAGTGAGATTAAACCATATTAAATGGCATTGTCTTTTCTGATGTTCAAGCAAATTAGGGAACAATGCTGCCTTGGGCAAGGTCATTGCTCAAGTGTCTGGCAAGTGTAGATCACGGTGTGCCCTGATCAGGGCCATGTTTGGAGTGTGCTCCTTTCACAGGAAAAGGAATGAGGATAGTGGCAGGTGTCAAAAATAGGTTAGAAACTCTTGTAAAATAGTTGCTAATTCGTTAAGCATGTACTGTTAGTTTGGTTATTATTTTGTAAAAGGGGTTCAAAGGGTAGTTGTAAGAAATAGGGTACTCAAGATACCATAACACACCTCAGTAAAGTGCACCACCCCCCAAGCGAAACAATGGGCCAATCAAGCGCCCTAAACCTTCATGCAAATGAAGGATCCAAAAAGAAACCAATCCAAAGGGACAAAAACAGGATAAAAAGGGACTTCTGACCCACTGAATTGTGCAGCTCCATCTGGGCCATCGCTGCTGAGCAGCCCCAGGGATGGCACCGCAGCATCCTCGATGGAGCGCTCCTGCTCGGCCCGGGCCCCATTGCTTCAGGCCTTTCCTTGTCTTATAATAAACACTGAAATCGCTTTAGTACCAGGAGCCTACTCTCGTTTTTATCAACAGGCATCCAGGTTTTACCCTGCCCTGAAGCTGTGACAGGCACCAGGACAGAGCCCTGGAATCCTGCTGCCCATATAACTGCCGTGAATTCTCTATGAACCAGCAAGTGTCACCAATATTTAATTATCCTGCTAAGACAATACGAGCCTGAATCGCTCTGTAAGACGCTCGTGTCCAACAGAATAAACTGGCATCGATGTAATTACCTGTGTATGGCTCAACCTGGCAAAACCTTCAGCCGAGCTGCGTAAAACATCAAACCCCTAAAAGGGAGCCGCGTGCTTTGTGCTCCTTGGGGAGCTGGGGAGCGAAACCTGCGGCTCAGAGCGGCGTGTCAGAACCCATCCGGCAGCACCAACTGCTTCCCGCTGCAGCCTCGGTTCTCATGGGCACGGAGACTCCGGAGCCAGCGAGAAGTCAAGACCTCGAATCTCGGTGTATTCAAGATTTATCTGCATCCCTATGCACATAAACGCCCTTTCAAAGGGGAAAAAAAAATAGCCCCGCGTGATTAAAGTCTGCATCAGTACAAATCCCAGGCTGCTTTAGACCGTACACACATAAGAATGGAATGTATAATCACAATGCCTGGGATTCTCCTTCACTTTGCTAAGGGCTGGGTTGGAGCTATTTTGAAAGAAGCAACTGTATCTCCTTTAAGCATTAAGCACTCTTGGCAGTAATAATTGCCTTGTAACCAACTCCTCATTAGCACTCTCTCAGACCTGAATTACTGCTCTGACTTTCTGTTGCTCCCGGTCCAAGAACAGGATTATCATCCCGGCACCAAAGTCTGCTCTTAATTATACTGTTACAGATCCCAAAAAAATTTTAAAATCCAATGAAATAAATGGAATGACTCTGGATTTAGAGCAGCATAACTGAGATCGGTTTGTCCCATTGTTTCCCATCTAATCCACAATTTAGCATGATAAAGCACAGTGTTCTACACAAAGCTTCCTTTAGCTGGGAAGACCAGCTTGTTTTACCCACCAGTAGTATGTCATGGTGACTGATAACTATTTTAATGAATTTAATACTCTTATCTGAATTCCTGATCCAGGAGAGAAAAATAGTTTTACCAAAAAAGAAAAAAAAAAAAAAAGAATATGGCACCTGCTTTCGATAGAATAAAAGCATTAATGTGAAGAACAGGAAACCAAATGTCTGACCCTGAGTGATGCTAAGCAGCTGCAGCTTCCATGAACTTTGCAGGAGTTGTAAGATCTCCATAGACGATATTTTAAGATCTTTTAAGCTCTAATGCAGTACTTTCTCCATGATTTTATTTCAGTTTGTCATTAATGCAAAGGAGGACACCAGATGAAAACCTGAAGAGAGCACAAAGCACAACCCAGATGCCTGAACACAGCTTTACGAAGCAGAACTTGCAGTGGCAATGCGTGTAGGAGCTTGATCAAAGAGAGATAATTAATCATGTACATACAGGTTGGATGAGGGGAAAAGGCCTGAGGAAAACCCACATGAAAAGTCTTCATCACACGAGTACTTACATTATTGCTTCATGGCTTTTTATGGCCTTAAACCCAAGCAAAAAAAAAAAAAAAAAGACATTATCTAAGGTGGTCTAGGGAATACAGCAAGGATATACAGAGAGACTGAGGAAAGGGTAAATGAGGTTTTACACATTCCACATTTCATTTGCAAGGGATGGAATGGGCTGTTAAGACCGTTGGAATGATTTCTTGCATGGCAGAAAGCAGAAACTCAAGCAAAGAAAGCAAGATAAGTATGTATGTTTTAGCAGAATTCTTACTAACTACTAAATTATTATTGGCTGCATACCAAACACTCCACACAGTGATAAACAACTGCTCATTTTATTTCACCAAACAAAAAGCCCATTGAAGGATTTCTACTATTACTGCACTCAGTGGAACTCACTTGAAAAATACAGTTTTGGACATACATCAAATACAACTTACAGCTGAATAGCTGCAGTGGTCTGACTGACTTTCCAAACATGTCAAGAAAATGTTCTGTTCTCCAGGCAAAAAGGAGAACAACAGAGCACAGCAGTGCACTAACAACAGGTATCAGACATTCCCTGGGGCTCAGAAATAGCTTCTCTTCTTAATTGTGGAGAGTTCAGCAACTGGCCCTGCTTTCAGGGCAACTGGGACAGGGGGGTGGTTCATATCCAGCCCCTCATTTTTGGTGGCAATCCAGCAGAACCAGTAGGAATTCCCATATTCTGTCTTGCCACCAAAAAAAAGGTACATTTTCAACAGCTGTGCCAGCACAACAGCATTACCAAATGCACAGATTAAACTAGAAAACCGAACTCATCTCGGTAAAATAAAAAAAGCGTTGCTAAAAATGGTGCTGCTTTTGATGCCAGCATTGGTTCCATCCCCAGTGCAGAGTCACAAACAGCTGTGGCAGCACAATGTGGGGCCATAGGTGGTGGTGGCAGTGGCAGGGATGACAAAACCCTGAAGATGTGCAGCCAGGAGCAGGTTATGCAGAGCTGTGTACCAGGCTGTGTAGAACTGTCATTGTGACACATCCCATCTCCCTCAGAGGCAAGGCCAGTTATGAAATCCCTCTCTGCTCTTTGTCCTGGCTGCTGCAGTTTGTCACCTCCAAAATTGTGCCTATAGAACAGTTTTAGAAGCTGCATCCTAAAATGGATCCTGGGAATCATCTAGGTTATGGGGAAAAAAAAAAATTGCTACAATGGGGTTTTTTACTGAGGCTCTTTCAGAAGGTGCACCCATGTCCCACTTGAAGACCTGGACCCAAATTTGGTGAATGATGGCTCTGTAAAATGTGTGTTACAGGGTTTGTGCTCCCCACACCTTTCCTTTCCATGTGTTTACATCCCCTACATGTCTGTACAACACTACCAAATGCAATTCCTGCTCTGCTGTTATAAATAGCTACCCAAACTTAAGGAGAGTAAGAACCATTCTGTCCAGGTTATGTTCTGTGTTTGGCATGATTGCTTTAGGCTCTGCCCATATACCTATCACCTGATAATCTGTTGATTCTCAGCATCTCTGAAAGGCAACTCTTGTAGATCTGAAGCTGGGTTCTGAGACACATCAGTGCCTAAACCCTGTGAGCAGCTCTAGAAAGAAAAAAAGAAAAAAATCCTTAAATCTTTCCACCCTCCACAGCCACCACTCATTGGTGCAAAGCCCTTTAGCAGAATTGTTTAGACCACATAACACCCACAAGTCACAATTTATGAAGTTTGCCAGCCTAATCACTGTAGACTTTTTCAGAGTAGATCCCCACAGTAACAATTATTTTCTGCTTTACTGACTCAGGGAATTTCATTCTAGTTTTTCTCCCCTTACCTCCCCATCCACCCTTTTATTTCTAAGCCACATTTCTTCATTCTCTCTTGCACGTATTGTGCCTTTAGTGAAGACTGCCACAGCCTGCTAAATTTGTCCCCTCAAATGCAGATCTGCCCTAAACCTTTTGGTTTATTTGTTTGGCCACACCGGTGAGTTTCGAGTTGTTCAGAAAAATTTGGAGCTTTTGGGGTTTTCAGTGAATTATCAGGAATTATCTGAATTACCTGCATTATCAGGAGCTTTTGGGTTTTCAGTGAATCCCTGTGAAACAGAGAATAGAGACTGCAAGTTTTATGTGTTTATTGTTACTGCAGCAGCACAAGCCGTGTGACACGAGCACAGCTCAGCTCCGTCTCTGGCACAGGCTTTGTTCTATAAAGGCACAAAAATCATTGCAGGCAATGGGATTTAAAAACATCCCAACAGAAATCTCAGATCTTTTTTTCCTCGCTTATTTCCTTTTTAATGGGGATTTTTAAATCAGCTTTACGTAAAAGCTTTACACACACACACACACGACTGAAGAGCAGACTTCCCCAACATTCCGTCATTTTATTCCGTGCCATTCAGCTTTAGTTTAGCGATGCCTCAGCACCACTCAGCAAGGCAGACCAGGGAAGGCAGCAAGGAGCTCCCATACACCCTTTTGTTCCACACGAAGCCAAACTCCACCCTCACGCAGCTTTTCCAGCCTGGCAAAACCCGGGAATCGCTCCATCCGTGAGGGCCGGCGGCGCAAACACAACACCTCAGGTGCACGGGCCTCGCCTCCCGCCGGACCCCCAAGGCACCTTGCTGGCCCACCCGACTCCCATCGGCCTCAGAGCGTGAAGTTATCACGGAAAGAGCCCGTACCTGGCCTGGCAGAGCCCCGCAGGATGCCGGCCTCTGGCGGGTGGGCGGTCCGCCAGCGGCGGGGCTCGAACCCGTCATCCTCCGTCCTCAGCCCGGGCCGCCACCGGGCGCCTCTCCCCGCTCCTGCTGCCGCCTCCCCGCCAAGCCTGCAGGGGTCGCTGTGGCGGGAGCGCGGAGTTACGCGCGCCGCGATTGGGCGGCGCTGAGCCGCGGGCCAATGGGAGGCGCCGACTCATCCGCGCTGCCGCCCGCCCGCCTCCGGTGCCATCTTGCCGCGGCCGCGGGGAACCGAGCCGGCCCGGTCATGCCGCACTTCCAGGCCTGGGAGGAGTTCACCCGTGCCGCCGAGAAGCTCTACCTCGCTGACCCCATGAAGGTGGGATAGCCCGGCCAGGAGGGGAGGGTTCGTGGCCCAGCCATGGGAGCGGCGATCTGGAGGCGGCTCCGGCTGCGCGCAGCCCGGCGGGGGCGGCGGGCGGTGTCGGGCTGGGGGGATCGCTGGTGGCTCCACGGGAGAGGCAAGAATCGCAGAGTCTCAATCATTTAGCTTGGAAAAGACTTCTGAGATCGTCAAGTCCAACCTATGGCCGAATCAGCCATATTAAGTAGACCATGGATAACCCTGAGTGCCACGTCTGCTTATTTTTGGAACGCTTCCGGATGTGGTGCCTCCACCGCCTCTCTAGACAGCCCTTTCCGATGTTTAATCACCCTTTATATGAAGAAATTTATTCTAATCCCCGCCCTAAACCCCTCCTAGCACACCTTAGGGCTGTGTGGAGGTTGCACCTTCCTGTCAGGGAGTTTAGGGAGAGATAAGGTCATTCCTGAGCCTCCTTTACCCCGGCTGAACAACCCCAGCCCCATTGCCCTGCTCTGGGCTCCCTCCGGCTCCTCCGTGTCCTTCCCGAAGCCCAGAACTGGACACAGCACTGGCACTGTGGCCTCAGCAGTGTCGAACACAGGGGAAAAGCACCTGCGAGGAAGGTTATTGGACCATCCATTTCTATGGAACGGGAGGAAACTCTCATTTACAGCCCCAAGAGCATCCCTAGGGAACGGTGTTACAGGCGGTGTTATTGGCAGCTGGGATGAACCTCAAGGGCTGAGCTTCAAAGACGTTGAGCTCATACCTGTGTGTTGGAAACCGAGGTTAAGAGTTCTGCTGACGTACCAACTATAAGCTTATTTTATCAGTTTATAGCATTTAAGACCTATATTATTTGAATTTGTCCTTTCATAAGGTCAATATGTTGCATTGTTGCCTGCAGTGATGTTTCAGACTGGAAGGTGTTTGCATCCTAAAGAATAACTCCTCAAGGACTTAACTTCTTGGTTTTTGGCTGTTTCTTCTTTCTGGTCACTTTTTAAAATGCAAATATTAAAATTAATCCCAGTCTTCAGGAAAAGTATTGTAGTTCACCTAAAAAGCATCACAAGAATGTGATGTGAAACTCACACCTGAGAAATCTTGAGTAAAAAAGGCCTAGTGTTCTTCACCAAAAATAGGGGAACTAGAGAAACCTTCAGAAGATTAAATTAAACCTAATTATTTAAAGCAGATTAGCTCTGCCTTTTAATTAGCACAGAGACACCATATGTGATTGCTGCTGATGATAAAATTGCCCAGTGTGGCCTTCCTAGGCTCTGTGACATTGAATTAAATGAAAGAATGGATGTCAGTGCAGCTGGGAGTTGCTCTTCCCCTTTCCTTAAAGGAAATCTCTTCCCGTCCATGGCAGTAAATTTGGTTACAGAGGGGTTTATATAGGCCCTGTTGTCATAGCACAAGTACTCTCCTTTAATGTGGCAGAGAATTAGCCCCAGGAATTTTGTAATTGGGCTTGCTGGGAAGCTGAAGGAAGAGCTGTGGGAGATGGATGTGTGTTCTGCAGCCTGGTACTGAGTGGTTCTGCCTTGGCAGGAGCAGGTTATTGATAGATTGAGTGTGTTCCAGCAGGTTATTGATACACTGAGCTGTTCCAGCAGGTTATTGATACACTGAGCATGTTCTGCTGCCTGTGGCAGCCTCTCCTGTGCTTTTGGGGCTGTTCAGCAGAGAGCTGTGCTCCTACACTGCTCAGGAGGTGGCAGTTTGGCAAACAGAAAGGGTCAGTCTGTGATGAGATCCGCTCTGGAGCAGGAATTCCAAAATGTATTTGTAGCAAGGAGGTTGTTGACAAATCACTATTGACCATTAGCACAATGAAAACTGTTTGCAGTGTGAGTTCAGAATGCTCTCAGAGGCCACCCTGCTTTGTTTCTGATGTTAGCTGAGGCTGCAAACTGGTCAGGAGGAACCTCTTAATGCTCAGCCACCGAGGATGTGGATTTTTACCAGTGTGGCTTTGAGAACTTTGGTGATGTGAGGGTCCAGAAGGGCAGGGTGGGTTAGAGCTGTGATGATTACCACAGCAGAAAAAGTGGTGATGTTGAGCCTGCCCCACTCAGCTGATCACTTTCCAGTCTTCATGTGGAGCTGCTCTTTTCTGAAGTGTTTCCAGCCTACAAACACAGGCCTGCAGTTGGTTTTTCTGGGGTGTGACACACAGCCAGGGATGTCTCTTCTCAACACGACTCTCATGGTTTGTCCTGCCTGTCTCAGGGTCTCTGCAGCTGTTGTTGCTGAATTTGCAGGGGTTTTGAACATGCCCAGTGTTAACCTTGCTGATGCTGCTGGAAAAACCAGCCTGGATTGTAAGGCAGGGAAATGTGGTGGGTCAACTTCCACACCACCCTGGCTGTGGGATTATTTACAGCTCCCACAGCACCAGAGCTGGGGACTGCCACAGAGGGGCTGAAAACATGGAGCAGAACATAATTATGGTCAAGGGTAGTCTGAGTGTGGGCACACTCCCTTCAATACATGCTGAGAATTGTTATCTGTCAGTGCTAATTCCTAAAATGTTTTTCATTTCAGGTCCGTGTTGTCCTCAAATACCGACACTGTGATGGGAACCTCTGTATCAAGGTGACAGATGATGTGGCTGTAAGTACAGAGCACATTCCCCTTGCAGAGCTGCTTGTGCCACTCACAGACTTCAGTTTTGCTGTCAGTCACCTTGGGAGCTCTTGCACACTGCCTTGAGTGCCTGACAGTTCTCTAAAACCTTGTATTCAGCCTTCCCTCGTAGCTGTGCCTGCATTGACACTGACCAGTCCAGGAGCATTTTCAAACTGGTGTTTACTGGTGTGAGTGGGTCTTTTTTACCTGCTCAGAGTGGTGAAATCTTCCAGCCATAGGTGAGGTTCCCTCTTTGTGATTAGGAGGCTGAGTGACTGCAGTGTTACAGCTAAAGAGTTGTTTTGCTGCAGCCCAGGCTGTTCTGGTATTCTGCAGTCCAGACACAGTATTCTGCCCTTCTCTTGCCTTCAGACTTGGAAAAGAGTCAGATTTTTCTTTCCAGGAAAAGTAGTCTGGCATTGGAATGTCAAGTGCCTGGAATGGATGTGAAACTCCAGTAAAGGCACTTCTTGATAGGGCAGTGGGGCCTGACATGGGTGAGCTGTTGGGTGTGGGGCACTGATAATGGAGAATTTAAGGGTTATTTTGTGGAAATCTCCTCTGGGGAAGTTGGAGTCAGGTGATTCACAAACATAAACTCTTCTGGGGTATAGGCTACCTTACCTGCTTTCAGTCAGAGAAGGATGTTACACCAGGTGGGGTGAAATGGGGACTGGTTTCAGGATTTTGGTTGGGTTGTTTTAGTGATTGGGGGTTTTGTTTGTTTGGTTGTTTATTTTAATCAGATTCTGTGTTCCCTATTTAGGGCTGTCTTGGAAAAACAGGTTTTGCTTGGGATAGGAGAACCCCTTCAATGGGAAATACTGAATTTTATGTCCCTGGCAGTGTAACATGAAGGACTATGAAAGGCAATATAAGCTTGCTTTCAGAATATAAAGAATTGGCAAGTAACTTCAGGTTTAAAATCTGCTTCTATGTTTAGACAACACAAAAAAAGAGCAGCTTTAAAACCCAAGTTTCAACAGCTTTTTGGAGCTAGAAGAAACTAGGATAAATTCTGAGTTTCCCTGTTTTCAATATGGGAGTCATGAGCATTAGGGAGAAGCTTAAAAGCAAACACAGATAATGTTTGTGCTCTGAAGCAGGGTGGATGTGTTGGTGCTGCCTCCTGGTAACTGCTGAACACTTCAATGCTCTCCTTGTTTTGTGTGCTCCAAGCACAAATGAATACATAGCAGCTACAAACAAGATAAAAAGCAGCAGAAGTGAGATCTGATATCAGCAACTTTGTCTTGCAGTGTTTGCTGTACAGAACAGACCAGGCACAAGACGTGAAGAAGATTGAGAAATTCCACAGTCAGCTCATGCGACTCATGGTGGCCAAGGAGTCCCGCAGTGCTGCCATGGAAACAGACTGAAGGGCTGCCAAGAAAATCACTGCTCTGCTCATATTTCACTGGAAATAAATCTTTGGGATTGCAAAAAAAAAAAAAAAAAAAAAAAAAACTGGGGCAGGAGATGCTTTTATGTACTGAAGTGGACTGATGGCAAGTCTGAAGCATTTTCACCCCTCAGACTCCACTTTGGGAATCTAGGAGAATAAGTGCTTTCAATTGAAAGCTTATATTTATTTTTGGGTATTAAGCAACTATTCTTACATGTTAGGTATGCTAAGAAGACAAGTAAATATTTTAAATCTACAGTATGTTAATGCAAATTTGCTAGGCCACAGGCATACTTCTGGAAAGTTACTGTAAAATTTAATATAGATTTCATTGTGTTCATACTTTATGCTGGTGTATTCTCAAAATGAGAGGGTTTATTAATCAGATACTGTAGCATGGTGGCTGGGTTTAATAAATACTTACATACATTATATAAATCTGTTGGGTTTAGAATAACAGATGTTTTCTGAACTGAAATGTTGAAATTGCCAATTTGTATTACCACTGTCGCTGGCAGCACTCAGTCATAAGATGTGCAACATTATCCATAATGCAGTTTGCAGAACTCTTTTATTGGCTAAGTGATTAAACTTCTGTATCTCAAACATTAAAACAGAACTTCACTTGAATATTCCTAGAGATCTGTGAGAAACTGGGAGGTTTTTTTTTTGCTTGTGCAAATACTGTTACTAAAAAACAGTCAGTGGCTTTTTTACATACTTGAACTATTTTGTACTAGCAGGGGTTTGTTTCCCCAACCTTGCTTCAGGCAGAGTTGAAGTA